CTTTCCAAGCTCCTCACGGTCATTGGCCTGGTAAAGTTTGAAACATACCTTCACAGGTATGCCTCCTCTGAGAAAGCAAAAAGCCTTCTCAAGCATCTGTGGACATGCTCCTGCAAGCTGTTGGGTCTTTCTGCGTGGACCCTCCGCCAGTTTCTCTGTGTATGTTGTATAAAGACCTTCTTGAAGATACAGCTCACCGACTTTGCTGGTGACCCGGTCACCAGCGCCCTCGTCTTCGTAAATCTTCTGAGTCTTCAGTCAGCAGCAGAAAATAAGTCGCTCCGCCAGGTCTGAAGCTCCCCAAGTCAAGAGGCTTGCCACCGCTTTTTCGCTCAGTGGCTAGACCAATTGAAGTCAGAAGTGCATTCAGGCGCTTCCGCAAGGTCACAGCCAAAACCGGCCATAGCTTCTGGTCCTCTGTGAACTGGTCAAAGGCTGCTGCTAAGTACTCCACCAAATCCGGGGGGTCGATGCGGGCCGCCTGATGGCGGGCCGCACGACCCCGCGTCTTTGGGCACTTTATGCGCAGCAAGGCAAAACGTGCGCCTGGGGCACTGTTCCCTGGCAGCACAAGATCACCTCGGTCAGCCATCAAGACCTCGCCGATCCTCAGAATTCCTGCCCAGGTCAACCCGAAAATGGCTGCTTCCAAAGCCCCACCCCACATCATTGCAGTTGACATGAGTGCAAGTGACACACTTAAAGGCAATGCAGGGTGGTGTTGGTAGGGTTCGTCTGCTAACCATACGAAAGCTGGGTCCCAGGCTGAAACAAAGCTTTTTCTAAGGATTGGCCATGCAGTTGCAATGCTGTTGATGGTCTCCGCATACTTTCCCTATGCTTTCCCTGCAGCAAATATCTTCTGTCCATAAGCTACCAGCCATTTGGATACTTCTTCTGCATCAGGTGGTTTTTCTGTCAGTAGCTGCTGTAGCATTATGCCATGTTGGGTGTAGAGCCCAACTCTGAAATCATCCAGCAAAACATTTCTACTCTCCAGTGTCTTCTGTCGCGCAACCCTGGTGGGCACAAATGTGGCTCCACCTTTCGCAGACGCGGTTCCATGGCATCGACCCCCCGAAGTCCAAGACAGACAAACAAAATCCAACTAACCCGGGGCCTACGACCGCGGACACAGAGACCGGAACGAGTCTTGAAGGGCTCTGAGGGATAGAGAAGTCCAGAGGCGAGGGTTGTGCAAGTCCAGGAGAGTAGGATGCAAAGCAAAATCCAAAAGGCCAGCGGAGGGATGATTTGGCAAACACAGGACAGAGACAAACCGCCGTAGACAGGGCACTGCAAAATTCCAAGAAAGCTTAAGGTAAAACTGCAGAGTTGGTGGAGCCTAGGTGCGATTGCAAGATGGCATTCAGAGCAAAATCCACAGGGAAAAGAAAATCCATCAAGTCCAAAATCGAAACGCATGAAGGGCCTTTGAGACAATAGAGTCTGGTCATGCGGCGCTCGGTCAGGGGCTGAAAGGCGTAAATCCAAATCCAAGCCATCAGCACCCCGAACATGGAGGAAAAACATCAACAACGCAAGTCTTGCCCAATTTGCTGCCCACCTTGACAGCGCTCTTGTGTGTATCTCCTGAACATTCCGTGGGTCAAGGAAGTCCAAGAAGGAGTGAACCACAGGCCTGCGTAAGGCAATTCTCCTCGTAGGGTCATCTGCAATATTCAGTCTCGTTGGAGCGAAACCCCATCCTGGGTATAGTCCAAAACCAAGTTGCCATGTCATGGATCTTATGCAGACCCTCTGCAAAGAGGCCGAAGAGCTTCTCACTTTCGCCAGGGCTCCCCTTGCAGCTCTTGAATCAAGCAGGCAACAAAATCTGCTGTCTGGGCATGTCACAGCTGCGTCGGCCAGGACAGCCAGGCCGCCATGACCCTCAGGCACGTTGATGTGGCTCCTCCTTTTCCACCACCCGCTCTTTTCGATCTTCCATTGTGAAGCAGCAAGGAGGTCATTCAAGATGAGACTCTCATGGCCAATTGCTGGAAGCACATCATCATCCGCCAGCTGCGCTCTTGCAAGGGCCACAGAGAAATGCTTCGCCAAATGCATAACCAGGTCCCAAACATAGACGGCTGATTCTTTTGTGTATGCCCCCTCAACTCGCACATGATCATGACCTCCTGGACAACGCACTTCAGGGCTTTCACTGTTAACAAGGCAAGTGATGAGCCAAAACTGCTTCATGTGCGGTGACCCAAACTGGCAACTGGCGACAACACTTTCATTGAAGTCCATGCTGAGCAGTTGAATCCAGGCGGGCAGCCATGCTATTTCGTTCAAGTGAGGTTGCTCTTTCCCACAAGGTGCGCCATGTCTTCTGCCATGCCTCAGCAAAATGAAACATCTGTTCGCCAGAAGGTTCCCAAGCCATGTTTTTGGGCAGTCAAGGTCAAAGCCCTCTGGCTGCTGGTATGACCTGACTGCCGGATGAGCTGCCGGAGAGAAGGTTGTGCAGGATGGCTCCAATAGGAACGACTCGAACCTCTTCTGCTCGATCATGTGCATGCACCATTCAATCAACCTAGCATCTGTGAAGTCAAAGTGCTGGGAGGCCGAGAGATCAAGTGGAGGAGCTACTGAGTGTCCAAGCTGCTGCATGCATGAAGAAACCCTACCAGATCCTCCATAAAACTCAACAAAGTCAAAGTACATGAGAGGTGCCTTTTGTGGGTGTGTAAACCCCTCAGGACTCTCGGCTTCAAACTCATGTGTTTCGGCTCCTGCCGAGGCCAGCAGAGCAGCCGGCATACTGTCAAGTCTGGTGTAGCAGCCTCGCTTGTCACTGCCCAGCCAGAGCACTTCAGACAAAGACGCAGAGATTTGAGTGGAGGCAACAGCGCCCACTCCCAACGATGCATCTGATGTGTACAGCTTCCCTGAGTATCTCGTGGCAATGTTGGTCACCGCAAGAGGCACCAACGCTGAGAGAATGCAAAGCTCAGTGGCTGTTGTCCTTGAAAGTGCAACTGTGGTATTCTCCCCCAAGGCCTCAGCTTCAGCCGCCTCCTTGAAGAGGGTGTCAGCAACTGCAGTCATACACCTCCTATATATTGGAGCTGCAACTGTTGTCAAACCTCTCCGCACAAGAGCATCGGAAGAGTCAATCTCTGCGCCAGCTACTTTGAAACGTATTGACGCCTCGCCGACCTTGTCAGCAGAACCAATGGCACCATAGGTTTCATAGGCTTGTAGAGCCCAACCCAGAGCTTTCTCCGCAAAGGTGTTGAGGGGGTCTGCACCAAAACTATCTCTGCAAATCACAAAGTAGTCATCGATGATGAGGCCCTCCCACTGAGACGTCACGGGAAAAACTGAATGCCCTCTCAGCCGGTGTTCTTCTGCTAAAAGTCCATGCCGCTGCAAGGGATCCTCATGACCCTGTAAAGCAAACTCAACGCCAAAATGATCACCTTGAAAGAGAGAAGCAAAACAAGGGTATAGGTCATCCCCAGCAGGAGAAGTGGTGACAGCTGAAAGTGGTCCAAAACCATCACCTTGCGAAACTCTGTCCTTTTTCTTTTTGCGTCCAGCCTCTTCCCTTTCTTTGTGTTTCTGCAATGCCCGATGACCCGCTAGCTCCTCTTCAGAAAACTTGAAAGGCAACATAGTGGAGCAGGCGCGTTCATAGGTGACTGCTGTCTGGTGGTAGAATTCGCGCCTGTCTGTTACACTGCCAAAAATTTGCTGTGAGCCGCGAGCCACACTGAGGTTGGTCAGCAAAAACCCTGGAGGCAGATACTTGGAAGGCCCGTCAATGGCTCGTTCCATCATGTTGGGTAAACGTCGATCACCAATCTGCCTATCGTGCAAAGCTGACTTGTGTGCATCGAAAACACGCGAGAACATACCATCCTGAAAGGGGGAGGCCGCAAGCTCCAAAAGACCCTTTGTGTCCCACAGCTTTGCCAACTTGAGATTCTCATTACGAGATTCTTGTTTGAAGCAAGGGCCCGCCGCAAAATCAACATCTTCATCATGCAGAAGAAAACGAGGTTCCTGAAAAGGGAGCCAAAGTGGCCCTGAAAGAAAATCACTCATCTTCCACTTTCCCTCACCAACCAACTTCAGCCCATCTACACGAAGGTTCTTGTAAGGTTGGAGCTCAGGGTGCTCTTCAGCTGAAATTACGGCAGGATCCGGCTTGAACTTGATGTGTCGTGGCTGGGCATAACTTTGTCCCAGCTCAGAGTGCACGTTGATGAATTTCTCCATCTGCATCAGCATAACAGCTAATTCAGGGCCAGAGCAACCAGGAATCATTGAGAGCTCTTCCTGGTGAACTCCACACGCATCCATCAGCAGCCTCAAGCGCTGGAAACAACTGCGCTGCAAAGCATTTGGCTGCCTCCCAATCTCTGCAAGGATAGGGTGTCGGCTAAGGAACATGTAGTTCAGACAATAAACCACAACATGCAAAAGTCTCTGTCGAGCTTTCGCGGCCAACCTCCGTCTTGAAAGACCAGGGCCACTGCCATCAAAGCAACCTGGGTAGGCCACCGGCAGGGGAAAAGATGCGGTAGGCGAAGCACAGGGGCCACGCCAGCAAGCAGTGAAAAGTCTTTTGAGGCGCCATCCAAAACTTGTCCTGCACCTCAGAAACCAACGTGGGATACAAAGTGCCCACGCGTCAAAACTGAAAGTAGCTGTGAGAGGGCTTGTCTCTGGTCCCTGACTCAGCTTGTTGTTGGTTGATCGCTCATGGTCTGCTAGGACTCCACCTCCTCCGCAACAGCCTGAGAGCCCTTGCCCCCGCCCTTCCGCTTTGGGTTGCCTTTGGCTTTGGCTTTGCTGCAGGTGGATCTGATGAAGTCTCGGGACTGCGGCTCTGCCCAAGGAGTTCCACCCGCTTGCTGGAGATGACCTCCAATTCTTTGAGGAACGCCAGAGCGCACGTGACCCATCGTTGATCGGCTAAGGGCGCGAAAGCCCTGGTGCGGGAGGTGCTCATCATCTGCCTGTTGACATAGATCGAGGCTGGTGCGTCCTCTTGCAAACAAAGGAGGGTGGCCAAATCCATTCTGCCACCGTCCAAACATGCCTGTTCTATTGTCACTGCCAGCAGAGCCACTGTGTCCATGGCGGCATCCATTTGCCCTGCCATCATGTAGTCCAAAGCTGTCATGACCTGGAACTGTAACTGGCCTAGCTCCCTCTGTCTTCCGTATCCTCCAAATCTCTCCAAGTAGCGTACTCCAGAAACACCACGATTCAAGAGCTCTTGGGGAGAGGCATCTGAGGAACTGGTTGGGGACATCCGACGTGACATGCTCTGCAGGACTGCACGGAAGAAAAGTCCCTTCTGTAGCGCCAGCTCTGCTTGAAGCTTTGCTCGGCCCGTTGCTCCTCGAACACCTGCACCCCCTGAGGATGTCAGCTCGCTCATGGGATCGCCTTGAACATGTGCTATCTGAGCGACCAAACTTGTCAGCGCTTGTGATTGGACTAAAACAGCCTGGGCTAAAGCATCCCCGGAAATCTGGGCAGATCTGGGTTCGGGGTCCACTTTCTCTTCTTCCAATGCCTCTAACTCCAATGGTTTCCCGAGCCCCGGGGATGCCAACAAACCAGGGCTCTGACGAGCTGCAGTTCGTGGGGGAGGCTGCAGGGTCTTTGCAAGGGCGGATACTGGTAGCTGGGGTAAGTCCAGCGCCGCTCCCAAAGGCTGAGCTACCGCAACTGCTGCACTCTTGCCCAATGTGGGCAGCTGATCCTCCAACCTCTGTTGTCTTGTGCTCAATAAAGTCAACTGTTGGGACATCTGTGGCAGCAGCCCCAAAACCTCCTCCAGCTGAGTGGACAGCGCGGCTGTTGTGACCCGCTTTGCCTTTGGCCCACTTCCTGAAGGAGTAGCCTTTCTGGCAGGAGGTCTTCGCGGCAGGGGAGTTGCATCTGGGTCTGCAGGATCTTCCAACTCCTCGGGGGGGTAAAACGCAGCCAGCTGCTCTGAGGTAGCTGTGGCCCACGTCCTCACCAACGGAACCAAGGCATCTATGGAGGGGAAAGCGAAAGGAGAATCCTCGTCGAAGGAGAAGGTGACCTCCTCGTCTTCCATGAACTCGCGAAGGTGTGACATGATCCTCTCCATGCAATCGATGACCCTGACCAGAACTGTGCCTCCGGTCTGAGAAACTATCCCTCCATCTGCAAGCATAGCGGGGACCTCGAACTCCACGGAAGGCCCGAAAACGCTTGTGGGGCTTCCAGCATTGCCCTGCTCGACAATATCCATGGGGAGAAAACTTGCTGGGACGGCCAACAGGATACCACCTGTCCGCCTCATAATCACCAGCAGGTTCTCGGCTTTCTGGATCCAGGGTCCAACTGAGCACATAGGGCACCAAGTCGTCCGTGGCCAGCATCAAACACTCCATAGCTAGAATACCATCCAAGGAGTCCATTTTTCTCACTGACGGATCTCAAAGTCAATGACCCCAGCTCCTACAAAGTACACTTGCGCCTCAATCTCTGACGGGAATGAGTGGGAAATTGAGTTGGACTTCGCCAGGTCCTCAATGATGCCCCAATAGGACGCAGCACTCTTGCACAGAATTCTGCGCCTTAATGATGGCGTAGTACCTGGGTCGGAGATCCAACTGCTGAGAGCGGTTGGGTGTAGGAACTCTCCCTGCCTGTACCGCACCTGCCCACTGACCGGCAGTCCAAGCTCTGCGAATCCGATCTTCACCGGATGTTGAGGACCCAGACAACCTCGTAGATTGAGCCAGTAGATGACGAGGGCAAGGCAGAAAACTCGAAGCAATAGTCCCACGGCTCTCAGAATGCTGCACCTCCGGTGACACTGATGAGACCAAGTCAAAGGATCCCTCAGTCCTTGGTGATCTCGTTGAATCTTCCGATCTCTCCGAGGTAAGCCTAAGCAGAAGTGCAGTGGCTTGATCACGAGGCCCCGCAATGGTGATGCGAAGATCCCCCAGAGAGCACTGAACTTCAAAAGGCTCTCCGTCGTGCTTGCTTTGGCTCATACGCGTACTCAGCAAAACTGAGTACCGAGATGATGGCGCAGAGGAAGATGGAATGGGCGAAGCAGGAGCAGGTGAAATCCAAGTCCAAAGAGTCCAGAGGGAAAAGATGGTGGCGCAGGTGCCAGTAACAAATCCACAAGGGAAAATCAAGGCAAGGAAGGAAACAGAAGGTTGGATGCAGCAGCAGGACAACCAAGGCTCCACCTGTTGTTACGAGCACCTTCAAGACCCAGCAGGAGAACCCTTTGGACACTACCGACCATAGAGCTTGAGATTCAAAAGGCCAGGCATTGGATAGCTTGTGGTCAAGATAGATAGATAAGATAGATAAGATAGATAAGATAGATAAGATAGATAAGACAGAGAAGACAGATAAGACAGATAAGACAGATAAGATAGATAAGATAGATAAGATAGATAAGATAGATAGATAAGATAGATAAGAAAGATAAGATAGATAAGATAGATAAGATAGATAAGATAGATAAGATAGATA